CTATGGTGCATGTTATTTTCAGATGACATTGTACTGCTTGGCGAGATGCAAGGTGGTGTTAATGCGAGGTTGGAGGTTTGGAGGCAGACCTTGGAGTCTAAAGGTTTCAAGTTGAGCAGGACCAAGACAGAATATATGGAGTGCAAATTCAGTGATGTGACCCCAATAGTAAGCTGAACATCCCAATAGTAAGCTGAAATTGTGAGCTTTGTGAGTGATTCTTAGAGTGTAAAATCATTAGAAAAATGGACGAGTCTTTAGAGCTTGGGTTATGAGTTTCACCTCTCTCAAAATCACTATTTTTGCTAAGATTTCTAGGCTGTAAACACTGATTTTATTGCCGGATTTTTGCTATTTATGTTACTTTGTTGCTGAGCTTCAATTCCATTATTGCTATAGTTCGATTTCTTCTGCGACCGAGGTAATATTTGAACCTCCGTGATGAAGATTTTTTTATAGCAATAAACCAAGATTTGAACATGTTCAGAATGTTGGAATAGCGTTGATTTTATATTTCTAGTTGTTTAAGTGTTTTAACGTAATATGTATGACACAACCATGTGAATATATGATTGCTATTTTGAAGCTTCACTTTACTTTCCCTTAGCTATTTCACATGATTGGTTCATTGTTATTTACCTAAGTTGAGTTTCGTTTAGAGTAAATTAATTAAATATTATATTTTCTACAAATTCATGTAACAGGGGCTGCTAGTTTGAGCCATGTGATAATGCATGTATAGTTTGTTATGATACTATGAAGATTAAATGGTATGACACATTACACGACTTTGTTTAGGTTTGATTGTTGAAGTTACAACGTGAGACACATTTTAGGACTGTAGTAGTGTTATCGTCTAAAAGTGGCTATTGTATAAAAGTGCTTATTTATGCAAACCACCATGCTGCCTGATTTTGTAAGGTAATTTTAAGTGGTTGTTTCTACAATCACAAACTCAGTAGAAATGGCTACATCCAAAATTTGCCAGATCAGCAATCCAGCCTTAAAGTGGTTGCCACTGCAAAATTTAAATTTCAGAAGCACCTTGGGCCAAAACCTAAAATTTGTCAGGCCTAATTGTAACAAATCATTGGCTAGCCAACACCAAAGCTATCCAAAACAGGTCAGCAGTTTAAATACTCAAATAGTTGGCCCATTTCCTTTTAAATTGGCCAATATACTAAATTGGCCCACTTCCTCAATAAATGAATTGATCCATCTTCCAAATAATACTAGATTAGTTTGAATAAACTTCTTCAGAATTAGTTACTTCCCCCATGTTTAACAAATAATCCAATAACTTAATCACTTATAGTCATTATGAGTTCTTAGTTATGTCATTTGGTTTGACTAGTGCTCCAGCGACTTTCATGGATTTGATGAACCGAATGTTCAAGCGTTATTTGGATTCCTTAGTGATTGTATTCATTGATTATATTCTAGTT